ATTGTCTTACAAGGAACATAGAAATATACAAATGGTGCATGGGAATTGGTGAGACTTTTGTGAAGCCTTAGCTTTATCCCTTGGATTGTCGTTGCTTTGTATGTGTCTCAAGACACTGAAAATACTTTGCTTTATGTTCAACGAGAGACCCTTCACATTTGTAAGGGAGATAACCAGAGATCTTGGTGAATATCCGGGTTTTCTTACACCGTTAGACTCACCAGGCTTCATGACTGCAAGGTCGAGTGATAGTGAAGTGATTCAGTGTGTGCCTTAGCAAAATGGTTACTTCTCAGGGAGCTTCAAAGTCAACTGTAACAATCAGAACTTTCAAAGCCAATTCCTGGGGTGCAGATGTTTTGCTGAAAGATTCTAGGTTTATACCCGTGTGTCTCCTCACAGGATTGTTAATTTATAGACAGTAATAACATGCCTTTTCATCTCTGTATCCTCTGAAAATCCAGAACAGATACTGTTGTTATTGCTAAGTGCCTTTGAGTCAGTTCTGACTCATAGCAAGTCTGTGTAAGGTTTCAGAGGTTCAGCACCACACCAAGACTTCGATTACTAATATAGATGGTACTGAACTCTTGGTGTGGCTCTGTGGGTTAATTTGTTGGACTGCAAGGTCAGTGATTCAAGCTGACCAGCTGCTCCTCAGAAATGCTATACAGGGTCACTATGAGTTGAAACCAACTTGACAGCACAACAACAACAAAGAATGAGGAGAAGAAAGGAAAATTGCGCCCATCTCTAATTGTTGTCACACTGGGCAGCTTTAATTCCTGATGTGTTTTCATGTTTTTGTTTTCTTCACTGAAAACTTTATTTTAAAATAAAGGCGCATAGTTGTATAGATAATTGGGTAAGTCACTCCAGTGAATGTTCTATAGGTTATTTGGTGTTTGTTTTCAAAGGCTTCAAGCTTAATAACTCTTAAAAAAAAAAAAATCGGTTAACTTGAGAAATTTGAAAAATATTCTTGTAATCCTTATTTTCTAAGAAAGTGGCATTTTATGATGATTTAGTGGAACTTTTGTCAGGTACACAGGAGAACAGTTTTCCATCTGACTGAGCGTCTTCTCCCTCACCTGTTCCCCTCAGCCTGGGCTTCTCCCTCAGCTGAAGAGTCTCGGCTTCTTGGTTTTTCCAACCAGCTGCCTCTCTCTTCTACTTAACAAAGAACAACCTTCTGCCACCTCTGAGTCTCAATGCCAACCGTGTTTCTAACTGCTGATGTCCACGGAAACAATATAGGGTGGAGGTGTGGGAGTGGGTGGGGAGAGTTTAGGGAGTTTAATCAAAACAAACATTGTGAAAACTTACAGTGGGTCTCTGGAACTCAGTAAATGCTGCTGGGAGTTGCTCATCCACATAAAAATGTGAATGGAGGTAAAAATGCCTGTGTTGTAACCCTTCTGAGACTTCCTTCCTGGAGAGTCCTTGAGTCAAACAGGACACACGTGTTTGCAAGTCACCAAAAGTACTTAAGATGAGCTCAAGAAAAGGACTTGGTAGAATTTTGTGAGCTTCTCAGGAGATCTGAACAAGCAGTTGTTGGGGAGAATGGGGACAAGGGCAGGTTCTCTGTCCTTGGTGTGGGTTTGTGGGGCCCTCATACAACTCCCACTTCCTCAGGCTCTGAGGGCTAGAAACAGAGTCTGCTCTGGTCGCTGTGGCCATGGGTGGGGAGCTGCCCTGGGTGGGCTGGAAGATGCTGGGCAGAGGCAGGGAAGTAATGATCACTGTCCTGTCCATGGTAGTTCCCAAGCATTTGCAATCCACCTTCCTGTTATTTTACTGCTCAATGTGAGCTCAGCAGGGATCTTTCTGTTTATCTTTTGAGGTAGAATTTGCCAGGAAAAAAGTGTGTTCTCACTGTTTTTATTCCATCTGGCTGATAGATGTTAATTTAATTCATTTCTCATAGATACCTGACTAAAAAAATTTTAGTCAGGATAAGTGGAGGGACAGTCTTGGAACAAATCATTTAGCATAGGTCTCTTAGAACCATTTTACACTTGGCAGCTCAGAAATAAATATGAGTCTGTCTTTTCAAGGTTCTGTTTTAGCTCTTTTAAGGGATGATGTTGTTGTTAACTGCCATAGTGTAGGTTCCAACACATAGGACCCTGGATAGAGCTTCTGAGGAGCAGCTGGTGGATTTGAACCAACAATCATGGTTCAAACTGACCTTGAGGTCTACTGCTCATTCTACAGCACCACACCAGGATACTAACAAGTAATTCTGAGTATTATCAGGAGGGAACAGTGCCTGGAGAAGGACATCATGCTTGGTAAAGTAGAGGGCCAGTGCAAAAGAGGAAGACCCCCAATGAGATGGATTAACACAGAGGCTACAACAGTGGGCTCGAACATGCCAACAAGTATGAGGATGGAGCAGGATTGAGCAATATTTCCTTTTGTTGTATCAGGATTGGTAGGGGTTGAAACCAACTCCATCGTACCTAACAACCACTTTTAGTGTTTACACTGATTATTTTAGTAAGTGTTTATACTCATTTAGTGTCACTGATTATGCTAAATAGTTTTACATGTATGAACTTACTTTAGTTCTCTATCAAAAATTGAGCTAGGTAACTAAAACACAAAACACAAACCCAACCTGTTACTGTGGAGTTTATTTCAACTCATGGAGACCCCATGTGATGCAGACAGAGTAGCGCTGCTTCATAGAATTTTCTTGACTATAATCTTTATAGAAGCAGATAGACTTTTCTTTCCCAAGATGCTGAGTGGGTTAGTAGATGGGATCAAACTGTTTGTACCACCCAGGGACCTATACTAACAACACTTAAAAGAATAAAATAAGGCTTGGAAAGTTTAAGTAATTTTTCAAAAAGAAGAGATGATTCAAGTTAATATACTTGTAAACTGCAACAGAAAAATGGTAGGAAACAGAACAGCGAGGTAGGGGGACAGATTGTGACCTAGATACCATGTAAAAAATGTATGGGTAATTCTCTTGATAATGAAGACTCATTGAGGTTTTGGGGTCATGAAGGTTGTACCTGAACTACACTTTGGGAATGTTTCTTTGGCAGTAGTTTGTGTAATGAGAGAGGTGAAACCAAAGAAGGTCTTTGATGAGGTGCCAAGTGAAATGGGACCTGAACCAGACTATGGGAAAGGAATGGAACGGGACGGCATGGTTTTCTTTTAGACTTCCTGTGAAGTTCCCTCTCTAAGACTTGGCTTTAAGCATTCTAACACAAACTTTTGCTGATTTATAGTCAGCAAAACAATGTTGAATTTTGAAAAGTTAAGATTGTCTACCAATTACCTTTTATTGTTAAGAAAAATTAATTGAGCTCTTGGGAGCCAGAATATCTGTCCAGAAAGAAACCCACACATACACCCACTTCCGCATATAACTGCATACCACGTAGAAGCAAATCTTAAGTGTTTGTCACTCATGCTGAGTTGGTGCATCTATTTTCCTTAACAAGACAGGCAACTACTTGTTACATTGCCTACACAAGGTGGGTTCCTACTCCTACCAATCCTGTGCACAGCAGAATGAAACCCTGCCTGGTCTGGCACCATCCTCACATTCGTTGTTATGCTTAAGCCCATTGTTGCTGCCACTATGTCAGTTCATCTGGTTGAGGATGTTCTTCTTTCTAGAAAAACAGAAACAGAAATCAGTATATACAGGGAGACTTCAAAAAGTCCAAGGAAAAATTCCATTTATCTTTTAATTCCTCTTTTCCACCAACTTTTTGAAACCCCCTTGTATGTGTATGTCATCAAATTGGTTCCTACTCATACCAATCTTGTGCACAACAGAATGAAATACTGCCCAGTCCTGAACCGTCCTCGGATTCAATGCTATGTTTGAGCCCATTGTTGCAGCCACTGCATCAGTCTATCTGGTTGAGGGTCTTCCTCTTTCTTATTGACCCTATGCTTTATCAAGCATGATGTTCTCCATGGACTGGTCCTTACTGAAAACATGTTTAAAGTATGTGAGAGAAAGTCTTGTGCCATCCTCGCTTCGAAGGAACATTCTGTTTGTACTTTGTCTAAGACAGGTTTGTTCATTACTCTGACAATATTTTTTGCCAACACCCTACTTCAAATGTATCAACTCTTCTTTGGCCTTTCTTATTCATTGTTTAGCTTTCACATGCACATGAAGCAGTTGAAAATATCATGGCCTGAGTACTGTTTACCTCAGTCCTCTAAGTGACATCTTTTCTCTTTAACATTTCAAAGAGATCTTTTGCAGCAGGTTTGCTACCTTGGGCATTGATTATGGATCTAAGTAAAATAAAATATTTCACAACTTTAATATTTTCTCCATTTATCATGGTGTTGCTTATTGTTGTTGTTGTTGTTGTTAAGTGCCGTGGAGTCGGTTCCAACTCATAGCGACCCCGTACAGGATTTCCAAGGCTGTAAATCTTTACGGGAGCAGAAGCCTCATCTTTCTCCCGCAGAACAGCTGGTAGTTTGAAAATGCTGACCTTGTGGTTCTCAGCCTGATTAGTAACCACTATACTACCAGAGCTCTCTGCTTATTGTTAATCACATGTAAATACTTCATTTTAACATCTAGACTAGTTGTGAGGTTGAGCATGTAAGATGGGTTTGGCTTTATCAGGGATTCCATGACCTCAGCTTCAGCGATGTCAGTGGAACCCTAGGGGACACAGGTCTACATTTTGGAGCTTGAACTGCCTGTTGTTTTAAGCGTTCTTTTGTCCTAACAAAAAAACAACCTTGTTTTGTAATTAATAGGCACCTTGTTGAGTCATAAAAGTATCCTTTGCTTTAGTCTATTGAGGTCAAATGTTAATTTTCTCGATATTTAATATGAACTGAAGAAAAACGTTAGCATGAGGTATTATGAGAAGGAGAATACTTCCTCTATCATTACACTTTTTCAAATATCTTCTCTTACCAAGTAAGAATTAGCTAGCTGAAGATTTGTGAATTTCTCCTGACAAATAATGGTTATTTGTCTCTTTCTGCAGATTTCTACACATGGCGGGTCTTCTTCCAATATCAATGGTGGACCTGATCTTGATCGTTGTATGAGTCCTGAAGGTAATTTTCAATCTGATGATTGCTTTTATAAAGGAAATCATCCATGCGAATCTTGGTGCCACCCCAGAAACACTTGTATTAAAGTAGAATCTTCCTATCAGTCTATTGGTGGTCGGTTCACTTCAAGAGGTACTCATATAAAATCTTATGGCTGTTAATTGTTGTTGTTGTTGTTGTTGTTAAGTGCCGTCGAGTCTGGTCCGACCCATAGTGACCCTGTACAGGGTTTCCAAAGTGTCATCAAATCAGTTCCAACTCATAGTGACCCTGTATAGAGTTTCTGAGGAACAGCTAGTGGGTTTGAACTGCCTACCTTGTGGTTAACAGTCCAGTGCTTATCCTACAGTACTATTGTTGTTGTTGTTAAGTGCCGTGGAGTCGGTTCCGACTCATAGCGACCTTGCACAGGGTTTCCGAGGCTGTAAATCTTTACGGGAGCAGAACGCCTCATCTTTCTCCAGCGGAACCGCTGGTAGTTTCAAACTGCTCACCCTGCGGTTCACAGCCCAATTCGTAACCACTATGCTACCAGAGCTCCTGTACTAGGACATTAATTAGACTCTCAAAATTTCAAATTTCAGATTTGGGCTTTGTTAGCAATCAAAATTCTCCAGAGAAACAGAACCAATAAAATATACATACATATACATAGGGGCTTTAAAAAAGTATGTGGAAACCCACACACACCAAAAAAACACAGAAAAAATTGACAATAATTAATGCATGCCTATTGATAATTACATTGAATGTAAAAGGATTAAATATACACAATCAGGAGACATAAAGAACAGAATGGTAAGAGAACAGGATCCTTCAATATGTTGTCCACGAGAGACATATTGAAATAATGGCAACAGCCTAAGTACCTATCTACAGAAGAATAGTTAAATCAGCTTTGATGCATACACACAATGAAATACTACAAAACACTGAAGAATAATGATGAATCTGTGAAACACCTCACAACATGGTTGAACCAGGAGGACATTATACTGAGTGAAATTAATCAAGAAAGGACAAACATTGTTTGAGACCAACATTGTAAAAAGTTAATAAGAGGTTTACTTGATAAAAGAAACAATCTATGATAGTTTGGGTAAGGGAAATTACACATGGGCTAGAGGGTTGTTGTTGTTAAGTGCCGTCGAGTCGGTTCCGACCCATAGCGACCCTGTACAGGGTTTCTGAGGGAGTAAATCTTTACGGGAGTAGAAAGCCTCATCTTTGTCCCACGGAGCGGCTGGTAGTTTCGAACTGCTGACCTTAAGGTTTGCAGCCCGATTCGTAACCACTACGCAAATCTCATCAAGTATTACAGCTCATGAACCCCATCCAAGACAGTAATGTTCTTAAGAGAATGCTGGAAAAGGCAGTATGCATAAATATATAGTTCTCATAGACTTCTCTAATGTCTGATTCTCCAGATCTCACTATTAGTTTTCATTGTAATCACGTCTCTTTATTGGTGTTATTTAAAATTAACATAAAAATGAAGTAAACAAGAAAAAAAAAGTATGTGGAAAAATTCTATTCACCTTTTAGTTCCATTTTCCACGAACTTTTTTGTCTTTTCATATAGATAGAGAGAGAGAGACAGAGAGTGTGTCCTGATGTGGCGCTGTGGGTTAGTGCACTGGACTGCAAAGTTGGTTTGAACCACAAGATCAGGAGTTCAAGATCACCAGCTGTTCTTCAGAAACCCTATACAGGGTTGGTATGGGTTGGAACCAACTCAACCGCACTTAAAAACTACATACATACATACATACATACATACATACATATATATGTATGGAGCTCTGGTAGCGTAGTGGTTATGAATCGGGCTGCGAACCTTAAGGTCAGCGGTTCGAAACTACCAGCCGCTCCGCGGGAGAAAGATGAGGCTTTGTACTCCCGTAAAGATTTACACCCTCAGAAACCCTGTACAGGGTCGCTATGGGTCGGAACCGACTCGACAGCAGACAACAACATATATATATAGATAGATAGATAGATATCTATATCTATATCTATCTATCTATCTATATATATATCGAGAGAGTGAAAGAGCGTAAAAGAGAGAGAAGGAAAGAGAGACTTATTTTAAGACTTATTTTAGCCACTTCAAGTGGTTGTGACAAATGTGAAATCTGCAGGACAGACTAGAAACTTATACAAGAGTTGATGTTGTCTTGAGGCAGAATGTTTTGCTTTTCTGGGAAACTTCAGGTTTTTTTCCTCTAAAGGCTTGCAACTGATTGGAGGAGACCCACTCACAAGATGGAGAATAATCTGCTTTCCTTGAAGTTAACTGATTATAAATGTTAATCACTTCTAAAGACCTTCAAAGCAGCATCTAGACTACTGTTTGATCAAACAACTGACACCATATCATAACCAAGTTAACACAAAAATTTCCATCACAGGCTTTCTTTATTTTTCTTTAGTGGCATTCTGCTCTAATATTCTAAATATAGCCTTTTCTTTCTTTCAGTTATATAAAATATATTTATTTGATTCCTGTTATGTACTAAACACTGGGGATACATTACAAAAAGTAATCAACCTTAACCTCTTCTTTTTGAGAAGGATCTGATACAGAAATTAAAAACTCATCTGAATTTGGTTGAATTTTATTTACTTGAAAATCTTGAGGGAAAATCTTTATAAAACTAAAATTCCCACTTCTATCCTTACTCCCTTTTCCCTAGAATTAGCAGAAAGACTCCCTTTTGCCTGAGACTGATCACTTGTCTCAGTTAATATTTCAGGTATTTAAATTTATTGATTATGTTGTTTTCTGATATCATCCAAAAGGTCAAAAGGAGATTGGTGATTAAGGTATTCTATTAAAAAAATATATGCTTAGAGATTTTCTTTTGTATTATCACAGCTTTAGAAACAAATCCATTGCAGTTTGTTATTATACAATACAAGTATATAGGGATCAAGATGCTGACTTTGCGTTTATTTTATTTATTTATTTATTTAAGGTTTTAATTGTGGATTGAGTGAAAGTTACAGGGTAGATCATCAGTTTTACATTCAACAAATCATACATCTTTTTCATTACAATGATTATAATCCCCTCCAAGAACCATCAGTTAACAATATTTCTCTCTATTCATTTTAGCTCTTTTTAAAAAAAAAACAAAAAAACACTCAGGTATATATAATAATTTCCACCACCAAAGGGCACACTCTTCAAGTCTGCCTCCTGGCCACCAGCTCTTAGTCCCTCTCTTCCCATGAATCTAGAGCCTTGGCTGCTTCCTCTCTCCTTGTCCCCATTTCTGCCTACATCTCTAGTACCACTGCTTCTCTGGATAAAGTCTCACATTCTGCTTGTGCTCTTTTCCCTTGATGGTCATAGGGTCCTTGTTTCTGGACTGTAAGATTAACCACTCCCCTGTTTTTGTTACAAAACTTCTACATTTACAATTGTGACAATTACAATTAGTTATGATAATTAACTCACTATTGAATCATAAGAATCTTATCGTCATCTCTTTTAACCAGACCCATCTAGACAAGATGAAATCTATTCAGTAGGGACTTTCTTCCCCCCCACACTATTAAACTAAACTCCCCCTTGAAACCTTGTAAGCCAGTCACTTTGTACCTTTATCACCCCCCTCATTTTAGGTAGCCAATGTCTAAACTGCCCATCCCTATCTACCCTGTTTACAGAGGAGATAGCATTGATACTTGATGTGAAGACTCCTTCCCTCTCTGTTGGTATTTAGAGTTACTACCTCCATGAATAATGAAGTTGTCAAGGACTTCATTCTTCTTGGATTAACTATCAACACTCATGGAAGCAGCAGTCAAGAAATCAAATGACATATTGCATTAGACAA